ACACACACACGGCACATGCACACACACACAGATATACATAGACAGACACACACACACAGACCCACACACACGCACACACACGGCCAGTCTGTGATGGGATCACTGCCAACACAGGCCCCATCCACCCCGAGACGGCCAGCCCGAGCAGACGGCCGCCACCAGGGGGCAGCAAGGGGCAGCCAGGCCCGGGCGCAGGCTGGCCCTGGTCGCCTCGGTGCCCGCCGTGAGGCAATGCCAGGGCCCTTTCATTTTTCTTGCTTGTTTGTTCCCACTTATCATGTCATGAGGAGAAGTTACTGTATCTGAACAACCTGGAAAGTTCCGTTTGATGTTTTGAGAACACCTTTGTTCCGAACCTGAAGAAAGAACTCTTTAAGGCTTCTTACAAGAGCGTGATGGTGAGCGTGCGCGTGATTCCACAAGGACGGCCTGAGGCCGACCCGACAGGCACAGCTCCGGGCTCAGGACGAGGGGGCAGCTGCAAGCGCCCGTGCATCCTGCAGTGTGGGGACCAGGCGTCTCCCGAGTCCCAGCCGCTGCAGAAGGGCAGGCAGGGAGGCCTGGCTGAAGGGGGGCCAGTGTCCACTGCCTTCTCTAGGACGGGGAAGGGTGGTGCTGCGCAAGGGGGCCTCTCTGCTCCGGTCACACTTCTGTGGGGACTTCCACTGCTCCTCTCATCGCTGCAGGCCTCCGTCTGTAACCGGCGGGGGGGAACAGGGCACTCGAGCAGCGACAAGGGCTGCCAGCGGGAGGGGAGATGAGGCGTCCAGATGCTGCCGACAGCTGACCCGGCCCCACAGACACTGACGCCAGAACCCACCCTCCGCCCCAAGTGCGCGCCCTCCAGTGGGCACACAGGCCCAAGAGCCCCAGACGCCCCTGACGTGGTGACAGACGCCAGGAGTGTCTCCCGCCCCCCTACCCCGACTGAATGTCACCTGATCTTTTGTGGCTGAATTAAAACAATTGAGACATCTAGTCAAAGATATGGTTTTTCCAGTAGTCATGTACGGATGTGAGAGTTGAACTATAAGGAAAGCTGAGTGCCAAAGAATTGATGCTTTTGAACTGTGGTTTTGAAGAATTCTTGAGTCCCTTGGATTGCAAGGAGATCCAACCAGTCCATCCTAGAGGAGATCAGTCCTACATGTTCATTAGAAGGACTGATGCTGAAGCTGAAACTCCAATATTTTGGCCACCTGATGTGAAGAACTGACTCATTTGAAAAGACCTGATGCTGGGAAAGATTGAAGGTGGGAGGAGAAGGGGACGACAGAGGATGAGATGGTTGGATGGCATCACCGACTTGACGGACATGAGCTTGAGTAAGCTCTGGAAGTTGGTGATGGACAGGGAGACCTGGCGTACTGCAGTCCATGGAGTTGCAAAGAGTCAGACATGACTGAGCAACTGAACTGAACCGATAACCTTTCTGCAACATCCACCAAAAACTCTGTTCTGTTGCTGAAAACGTCACAGAGTCAGCAAACATTAGAGCTGGGAGGGGCCCGAGAAATAACCAGGAAGTCCTTCCAACTTGCCCAGGTTATGCTGCCTCCAGGAAACCCTCCATCCTGGCTCCTGGGGAACTTCCCTTTCATCAGTTTCTCTATTCCTAGCATAGGTATTATCTGTGTCAGCCATCTGTCTGGCTGACTATGTCAGCGTGCTTAGGTTTTTTTCAGGTGAACAAATGAATAATAGAGGCCATTTACTGAGCATAAATTGTGAAGCAGGCAATGTGCTTAATGTTTCATAATTTTATCCTCAATTTTAAGGAAAACAAAGTAATTTTAAGTATGAGCCCATTTCACAGGTGGGGAACCTGAGGCTCAGAGAAGCTGCAATTTGCTTACGGTAACCATTCAGTCAACAAGGGCTTACTGAGCTGTGGTATCCCAGGCTCTGTGCTCAGTGCTGGGGACAAAACTAGGGGGGGAGGTGGTGAGTTCAACCTGCATCTCCATCTAGTAACTTAGAGGGAAAAGCTGGAAAATCCAACTGAGACAAGATTGTCAGAGGCCCTCAGCTGACTCAGCACAGGATGACACGATTAGTCCAAGGTTTCAAAACTCCCACTGGGTGGCCTGCAGGGGTCCAGAGGAGGAGACGGTGGACAGTTGAGAGGCTTGGGGGCTGGCCCAAACAGACAGAAATGGGGTGGGGAATTAAGAAAAACGTGAAGTGCACATCTCCTGGGAACTACAGCTGAGTTCACACAGCACGACTCTGGGACCCAAGCCCTGAGGACAGGCGAACAAAGGACACGGCAGTGTTGCTCAGGGCCCGTGTGCAAGTCTTGGACTGTTTGTAGAGCAGGCCTGGCTGATGCTGGCATAGCACCCACTGGCTGAGGGGGAGGTGAGAGCTGGGCGGGCTGGGCAAAGCCGGGTTGCGGGGGGCACGGCCAGCCAGGCTGTGTGGACCTGCAGAGAACCCTCTCCTACCCGCAGGCATTTCTATGGTGCACCCAGAGGCACAGGGGACGTGCAGAGCCCCCCAGAAGGAAGATCTCAATTCAGCTCCCAGTTGCCCCCTCCCCGGGCGTGTCCCCTGTCCCCGGAGCAGCCCCACCCTTCCTTCTGGCAAGGACAGCAGCTGCGGAGTCTCCACGGGCAAGATGGGCGGGGGGCCTTCATCCAGCGACTTCTGCCTGACACCTTGCAGCTGTCCTGACATAACGGAACACAGTCACTCTCCCCCTGGGTGTCTCTGCAGAGTCCTCTCCTGGGCCCTGGCCCAGCCAAGAACTGGATGATCATTTTAAGACCATGTAGACAGAGGGTGCTCCCTTAGTAGCGGTGAAAGGTGTCCACTCAGAGCCTGTTGGAAACCCACATGGAGCTACAGCCTCCCCATGACTCTGCCTCAATGCGACTGTGCCATCCAGCACGCACCCACCAGCTGCTTATAGAACTCACGAAGGTGGCAAGCCCTGGGAGGAACAGAAGGGGGCGGAGCAGACCTGGGCAGCAAGACAGGCCCACGGGCCAGCCTTGTCCTGCCCCCAGCTCCCTGGGTGGCTCAGGGCAAGTCCCACAGCCTTCCTGAGCTCAGGGTCCTCAGCACAGCGCGCGGCCTGGACCACAGGTGGCCAAGTCGCCTTCCATACGAACATCTCTCATGAAAGAACCTCTCTTTCCTCCACTGACCTAGAGCAGTTTTGAGAACAACAAAAAAAGCTAAAATAGTAATCCCCTTTCATTGGAGGATTTCCGTTTTCCACCTTAACCCCGAAAACTCCCATCGTGGCTCCAGGCAGAATGGAAGAGGATACCAGCCCAGCCGCTAGGGCTGAGCTGCTCCAGGAAGGCAGAGGCCACGGGCCCCGGCATCAACAATGCCCCCCTCCCCGCGTCCCCCCGCAAGAGCTCTGCCCGCTGGCTTAGCTTCTGCAGGGCGGCTGTTCTCCGTGCAAAGAACATGGGACAGTGTGCTCGCTTCTGTGACCCGACTTCTGACCAGGGGCAAGTTCAAGACCACTGTGTGCACGGCGCTCCCAGACCCCTGGTCTCCATTTGGGGTCACCACCTCCCCTCCCAGCTCAACCCACGAGCGGCCGCTTCACAGGGGCCTCCCCAAGATGACGTCTCCACCCCTCCAGGCCCCACCACTGCCTGCCCGCTGGCTTCTGCTCCACACGTGCTTCTACACAGCAACCCAGGGGGTTTCTGTGTATCACGACTTCTCAGGATCAGGCCTGTGAAAGCCATGGGGAGCTGTGAACCCACCCTGCCCTCCCCTCGGGGGGCACCCCCACCCCAAGTCTACCTGCCCCGCACTCTACGACTGACCCCTCCTTCTGAACAACACAGCTCCGAGCTCACGCCGCCCTTTCGGCACAAGCCACGCCCCGGGATGGGATATTGGCCGAATAAACTCATCTTTGTGTGTGTGGGGCCCAACTTAGGCACCAACGGGAGGTATCTAAAAGCTGTTTCTCTCCTGGCATCCCCAAATAACCCGATACCTGGACAGAAGAGAGGCTCAGCCAAAAGAGGGGGGAGAGAGAGAGAGGTGGAACAGGGAGCACGCAAACAGGCATCACAGCACTGACGCAGACGGGCAGCAGCCCGTGAGCCGTGGTCCACGGGAAAGGCATGACTCACTTTCCATTTTCCTAAAGAGTGAATGTCCATCTTTTAGCCTCTAAAGATTCTCTCCTTGAAAGAGTCACCCGACTCTCAGAAGTGTGGTTGCCTAGGAAACGCCGAGCACGCACAGTCTCACTTCTGCAGGGAGGTGGTCCCCGACATCGCCCCATCTAGGCCACGTCCCTGACAGACTCTCCCGTGGCTGACCGGGTTTTCCCCCCAGGTTTGTGACCACGAGTCAGTCGTCACACAGTCATCTTTGTGACTCCTTGCTTCAGGTCGACCTTCTGCCACTAGACCGGACGTGTTTTTCTCTGCAGATGCCTCTCCCGTGCCCTGTAGGGGCAGCAGGGGCGTCTTGGCCATCACCACCACCTCCCTGGTGCTTCCCCAGCCTTGACAACAAGGGCTGCCCAGAGACCTCTTACTGGACCAAGACCAGTGAGGGGAGAGGGGTCAGCCAGCCCGACTGAGTCTGAGGCGCAGAGCATTCCTTAAAAGCTGAGTTGCAGGACTTCAGGCCAAGAGGGGAGCCGCTGGGGATTGTGTAAACGTTCTTACATACCTGGCACGCCTCCGCTGGCTGACCCTACACATACACGTTTCCCTCTAAAGTCACTTAAAAGGAATTTGGGAGAACCTCATGGGGTCGAACAGAGGCTCTGTTTTTCACCTTGAGAGAACCTCAGAGATCATTTCAAACCCTTGCAAGGGCTTCATTAATAAGCAGGAAAAAAAATTAATTTAAAAAAAAGCAGTAAAAGTGTAATCTGTTCCCTCAGTTTAACTGATCACGATCCCGATCAATGAGACTCCGACAAACGCAATACAGAAGTCACCCACAGAGGCTCTCTGTGCTCAGGGAAGGGATGGATCTGGTAATACAGCCCCACACCCCCGTCTCACCGCACGTCGGCACGTCTTCCTCTGCCGAGGAGGTCTGCTCATCCGTCGATGGCTTTTTCTTTCCCAAACCGATGATCTTGGTGATTTTTTTCCCAGTGACTTTAGACACGGTTCCCTTGGCCTCTGATTTGGAACTTTTTTTCCTCTTAACTGTGAAGAAAAAAGATGATGACAAAAAGGCATGTTTCAATGGTATACTTTAATGGGGGGGAAAACATCAAAATAATGCATGTGTCGTGGCCAACTTTCTTTCCCTGAATTTTTACTCATCACGCACCTGCGTTGTGTCTGCGATGGGTCTAGAGTCTAGAGAACAGAGCACAAACAGCAGCCCCCAGGAAGCTTGTGTTCTAGAGCGGGCTGAACACGCACACACACACGCACACACACGTGCACACACCCACACGTACCCCTGGGGGAGGCTGCCTGACGCAAGGCCTCTGCACACCTGAGGCGGGGTTCCGTGGCAGAGGGACCGCGCGGTTAGGAAGCACAGCAGCGGAACACAAGGCAGCGTCGGCGCAGAACCCGGGGCAGAGCCACCCGGGCAGGAACGGCGTCAGCTCTCGCAGAGCCTGTGGCGCCGCAAGGAACAGAAGGCAGGCTGGGCGCCCGCATCCTGGGCGGCACGGGGCGCGGCCCGGCAGGGGGAGGGGGTGGTCCTTGGGGAGCCTCAGCCAGCCCCTCGCCGACCTGTCAGGCTCGCATCCCAGCCCCAGTCCCGTGGGTTCTGTCTGGCCGGCGGGGCTCAATCGTACGCGTGAAACTCAGGACTGTTTTGCACAAAGATGACTTCTGGCTTCCCCTGGAAAACTGAAAGATCTAGCCACTCCGAACCCACAGTTTGGTAAGTGATGGTGGGTGGGGGCCGTGCATGAGGACCGATATGCCTGGCTAACCGCAGCCCCAGGCCCCCGGCAGACGGACCGCCGGCCGCCAGCTCCGCTCCCGAGACTGAGCTGTGCCGGCCATCTGCTCTCTCCAGCCCCTGCGGGCTTGGTCCACAACCTCCGACAGAAGCACAGGTTGGGGACGGGGCGCAGACCGGGGTGGACACAGAGGATTCTCCAGGACCGACAGCACCTCTGGGAAGTGAGCCGTCACCGGGGCTGTCCCAGGTCTGACCCTGGAGCCAAGGGCCTCGCAGGACACCAGGCCTCCAGGAGGGTCAGGTGCAGCCTCGATTGGTGTGGATGGGCTGGGAGGGCCCCCAAGGGACCCCAGGGCATCAAGGCCAGACGCCATCACTGACTCCCAAGACCCCTCCCAATAGCCCCTTCCTAGTCCGCCCCAGGAGGACCCCTCATCCCACCATCTGTAACCCAGAGGGCGGCACAGACCTTTTGAAAAGGCAACAGAAGTCAAGAATTCCCTCAGTGGCCCTCTGCCCACAGAGACAGCGCACACACAGCCACACCAGGTCAGCAGAGAAAGAGGACTCGGGCATGTGAGACCAGAAACCATCGGCCTGATTACTGCACCCGCCCTCTGAAAGCAGAGGCACTCACTACTTCCTTCCCCCACGCTGGCTGCTCACAGTGGGGCAGAGAGGCGCCCCCCTCTTCTAGGTTCCACTCTGCCACCTGCCCCACATACGGAATGGCCCGGCCTGGCCCAGCCTCCTCTGGGCTCGGCGTCCCTTCTCCCTGCTGCCCACCCCGACTCAGGGAGGTCCCTGAGGTCAGTCCTTGTGCTGGAACCCTGATTTCCTCTCCAGGAAGAAAGGACAGTTAACATGAGGCATTACAATGCAGTTAAGCAAGAAGCCTCACTACAGGGTGAAGGCACGATGGACAATGCCTGCGTCTCCCCAAGTCTCACACATGGGGAAGCCCTGACCTCCGTGCGGCTGTATTTGTAGACGGGCCCCTCAGGAAGCAGTTAGGTGAGGTCGAAGGGTGGGGCCCTGGCCCGACAGGATTGGCATCCTCAGGGGGCAGGGGCAAGGCCACTTGAGGACCCAGTGAGGGGATGGCCATCTGCAAGCCAGCAAGGGGGCCGTGGCCAGCAGCCAGCACCGAGGGCCCTGGATCCTGGGCTTCCGGCCTCTGGGACTGTAAGAAACGCATCTCTGTTGTTTCAGCCACACGGTCTGTGGCATCTCATTACGGCAGGCAGCCTGAGCTAAGACAAGCATGTTTGTGCTATCTCACATGTACCAGATCATGTTAGAAACACAGAACACGGAGAGATCACTCCGATCCCTCTTCACACTCTCCCACTGCACGCAATCCCCTGTAAAATGAAGCACCAGGAACCTGCTTCCATCTCCTGGTCTGAAGGCACAGCCCCTCCCCAGCTGCTGTGAGACATGGAACCCCTGGTTGGAATGCCCATACCACTGATTTGAGTTCAAACAAACCCAAAGTGAAAGCGGCAGTAGGTGACCCTTCTTCGTGGTTTCTCAAGAGCATCAAGACAACCTTTGACCAGAGTCCCACTCAAGCTGAGCTTTGATAAGGTCCTCCCAGCGAGGGCGCTCCATGCTCAGAAGGCACCTTCTGTGAAGTCTGGGAGCGTGAGTCAGTCATTCCCTGCTAGGTGATGCATGGGAAAGCTGTCATCAGACTGACTTCCAAGCTGATGAGGACTTGCTACTGTTGGGAAAGCTCTTGCTAGACTCTGACTACAAAGAAAAGACGTTAACAAGGACCTTTAATTCTTTGAATGCCCATGGATTGATTTTGTTTGTTTGTTTTTGCAAAAGCAGAAGGGAGGCCATCCTTGGAAGAAAAAGCCAAAGCTGTAGGAACGGGAGACTATGTTGATAGAACAAGAATATGTGGATGGTATTCATATAGTAGAGTTATGAAGAAAAACCTAAAAACTCAGAACTCTCAACTCACTGACCTTGTGGAGGAGAGACAGTCCAGACAGCATCACTGTGAAGGTGGGGAAGGGTGCAGGGAGGGGGCAGTGACACAGCATTTTAAAGCCATAAATGTCATAAACCCAGACAGTTTTCTATTACCCTATACAAATGAGAGTCTAGGTGTTTTGACATTTAGTCAGGTGGGAGGAATGGGGACATGGAGCTAATACCATCAGACTATTCACTTGCTTTACCACTAATGCCACCTGGGGGCTTCCCAGGTTGTGCAAGCGGTAAAGAACCCATCTCCCAGTGCAGGAGACTTAAGAGATGTGGGTTCGACTCTTGGGTTGGAAAGATACCCTAAGGAGGGCATGGCAATCCTCACCAGTATTCCTTGGCTGGAGAATTCCATGGACAGAAGAGCCTGGCGGGCTACAGTCCATGGGGGTCGCAGAGAGTCAGACACGACTGAGCGACTTAGCACTTGCTAGGTCCACCAGTGGCCTCACTAGCCCGTGAGTAAACAGTAAACGCGTGCAGGGCTAGTCAGGCACAACCGTCGCTCCCACACAGGTCAGCCCCACCCTCAATGCTCTTCTCACATCAGCTGCAGGATCAGTAGCAGCTCTTCTAATTTACCCCAAATCACACTGCACTGGTTCATTACATGCCACGGCCTGACGCCTGGAAAGAAGATACCCGAGTTTAGAGTCATTCCCTGTGGCTCTGGTCACAGAGTCTGGCTCGTTTCCGTGTTCAGTTAAGAGTTTAACATTCCAGGGAAGCTGCAGGAGTTCGGGATTTCCTCCACGCAGCCAGCAGAGAAATCTGTCTGAGCTGAGACATGGCTGGGATCAAAGGGGCTTTATTGGAATTTCTCAAGTACAAATTGGCCAAGAGTGTGCAGCAAGGATAAAAGCTCGGGGAGCAGGTCAGGATGTACTTAAGCTATTAGCTTCCTTCAGTGGCTATCCACTGGGAGTCTAACTATATGCAAAGTTCCACGCCAGGCAGAAGTGTCTGAACCAAGGTCACCTTTACAGAGCAGAGAAGGCTGGTCCTGTTAAAAGGGAACGAGACCGTCAGATGCGGACACAGGCACTGACCCGTAGGTCCAGACAGACGATGTCAGTCTTCAGATCCCACTTTCATGCAGGGACACCAGGAGAGGGAACGGCAAACAAGGAGAGAGAGCAGCCTCCGCAGCGCCCACCAAGCCCTGGCGTCCGAACAGGAGCCCTGAGACTGCACACTGTCCTATTTCGGGGCAGAACTTAAAGATAGCTTTCCTGGCCCTGATGACACATAATGTGCCCTGTGAAGACAGAGATGATACCCTCCACCGAATAACTTCCGATGGAAAGAACTAAAATTACACACAGAAACAACAGAGTTAGAAAATTTCGTGGGCCGAGGCAGAGATCATGACCCTTTGGGGTAAACCGCGACATATCAAAGCAGCCCAGACGACCTGGGCTCCAAGATCCTTAATGCTGTGGACTGCTCTTCCCTTTATGGTGACTTCCTTTCTGAGTCAGGAGACGTCTGTGCACCAGTGCCCCGCCGCAGCGACAGAGGGCGGTGAGCCAAGCCGGGCGGGCAGAACCGCTCACCTGGGGAGCAGAGATGCTGCCAGCTGTGCACAGGGAAAACATCCTCCCCACCCACAAATCAGCTCTTCCCCTCAGCCCACACGGTGTGAAGGAAACCAGAAGTCAACCCTTCATCAACAGATAAAGACCTCTCAGAAGTCAGTATGAACCAAAATTTCAATAAGAATACAGATAAAGGGTTTAGCAGATGTTTCCCTAAGGATGATGGCTCTTCAGAGTCCCTTGGACAGCGAGGAGTCAGTCCTAAAGAAAATCAACCCTGAACACTCATTGGAAGGAATGATGCTGAAGCTGAAGCTCTAGTACTATGGCCACCTGATGTGAAGAGCTGACTCACTGGAAAAGACCCTGGTGCTGGGAAAGACTGAGGGCAGGAGGAGAAGGGGGCGACAGAGGACGAGAAGGTTGGGTGACCCACCCACTCAATGGACATGAGTGTGAGCAAACTCTGAGTGATACAGAGGAATACAGAGTGATGCAGAGTGATACAGGGAAGCCTGGCGTGCTGCCGCCCATGGGGTCGCAAAGACGTGGACATGACTGAGTGACTGAACAGCAACAACAAAGGATGATACATGTCTGGCAAAAAAAAAATCACAAGAAAAAAATGCTCAGCACTGTTGGTCACAGGAAAATGCATTTGAAAGGCACAATTACACAGCACTGTGCACTTATTAAAATGGCCAAAATAAAAAGAACAAGATGAAACAAAGATGACAATAGAAGGCTGGTGAGGAGGCATGAGTGCCAGCGGCCACAGAGCCCCAGCCCAAGGTATCAGCCTAGAGAAATGAAGACGTTACGTGTTCACACAAAAGCCTGCTTATGGACGTCTGCGACAGCCTCACTCATGAACCACTCAAACCCAGAAACAAGCCAGCTATTCTTCAGTCAGAAAGTGGATACCTAACTGGTCCATCCATACTGGAATCCTCTCAGCCTAGAAAAAGAACGGATGACTGACTCAGCACGTGGATCCACCTCAATCGAAATACACAGAGTGAGAAGCCAGACCCAGAAGGCTGCACCCGTATGATTCCACTTTCAGGGCAGCAAACACGTCAGTGGTTGCCTGGGAACATCCTGGGGTGAGAGCGATGTTCTACATCTTGACTCCGATGTAGGTTACATGTATGTGTCTGTCATATGCCAAAAAGGCTGAATATGACAATGTGTAATTTACACCTTTATAAAGTTGACTTTAGGGGAAAAAAAATTCAGTATTTGTACCCCCATGCCCACAGCAGCATCACTGACATCAGTGTTTGTACCCCCGTGCCCACAGCAGCATCACTGACATCAGTGTTTGTACCCCATGCCCACAGCAGCATCACTGACAACAGCCAAAAGGCGGAAGCCACCCGGACATCCCCTGGTGAGCGACTGGAGAAGGAGACGCGATCCACCCACATGAGAGATGTCCCCTGGTGAGCGACTGGAGAAGGAGGCACGATCCACCCACATGAGGAGATGTCCCCTGGTGAGCGACTGGAGAAGGAGGCGCGATCCACCCACATGAGGAGACGCCCACTGGTGAGCGACTGGAGAAGGAGACGCGATCCACCCACATGAGGAGACGTCCCCTGGTGAGCGACTGGAGAAGGAGACGCGATCCACCCACATGAGGAGACGTCCCCTGGTGAGCGACTGGAGAAGGAGACGCGATCCACCCACATGAGGAGATGCCCACTGGTGAGCGACTGGAGAAGGAGACGCGATCCACCCACATGAGGAGATGTCCCCTGGTGAGCGACTGGAGAAGGAGATGCGATCCACCCACATGAGGAGATGCCCACTGGTGAGCGACTGGAGAAGGAGACGCGATCCACCCACATGAGGAGATGCCCACTGGTGAGCGACTGGAGAAGGAGACGCGATCCACCCACATGAGGAGATGCCCACTGGTGAGCGACTGGAGAAGGAGATGCGATCCACCCACATGAGGAGATGCCCACTGGTGAGCGACTGGAGAAGGAGACGCGATCCACCCACATGAGGAGATGCCCACTGGTGAGCGACTGGAGAAGGAGACGCAATCCACCCACATGAGGAGACGTCCCCTGGTGAGCGACTGGAGAAGGAGATGCGATCCACCCACATGAGGAGATGCCCACTGGTGAGCGACTGGAGAAGGAGACGCGATCCACCCACATGAGGAGATGCCCACTGGTGAGCGACTGGAGAAGGAGACGCAATCCACCCACATGAGGAGACGTCCCCTGGTGAGCGACTGGAGAAGGAGACGCGATCCACCCACATGAGGAGACGTCCCCTGGTGAGCGACTGGAGAAGGAGACGCGATCCACCCACATGAGGAGACGTCCCCTGGTGAGCGACTGGAGAAGGAGACGCGATCCACCCACATGAGGAGATGCCCACTGGTGAGCGACTGGAGAAGGAGACGCGATCCACCCACATGAGGAGACGTCCCCTGGTGAGCGACTGGAGAAGGAGACGCGATCCACCCACATGAGGAGACGTCCCCTGGTGAGCGACTGGAGAAGGAGACGCGATCCACCCACATGAGGAGATGCCCACTGGTGAGCGACTGGAGAAGGAGACGCGATCCACCCACATGAGGAGATGCCCACTGGTGAGCGACTGGAGAAGGAGACGCAATCCACCCACATGAGGAAATGCCCACTGGTGAGCGACTGGAGGAGGAGGCGCGATCCACCCACATGAGGAGACGTCCCCTGGTGAGCAACTGGAGAAGGAGACGCGATCCACCCACATGAGAAGACGTCCCCTGGTGAGCGACTGAAGAAGGAGACGCGATCCACCCACATGAGGAGACGTCCCCTGGTGAGCGACTGGAGAAGGAGACGCGATCCACCCACATGAGGAGACGTCCCCTGGTGAGCGACTGGAGAAGGAGACGCAATCCACCCACATGAGGAAATGCCCACTGGTGAGCGACTGGAGGAGGAGGCGCGATCCACCCACATGAGGAGACGTCCCCTGGTGAGCAACTGGAGAAGGAGACGCGATCCACCCACATGAGAAGACCTCCCCTGGTGAGCGACTGGAGAAGGAGACGCGATCCACCCACATGAGGAGACGTCCCCTGGTGAGCGACTGGAGAAGGAGACGCGATCCACCCACATGAGGAGATGCCCACTGGTGAGCGACTGGAGAAGGAGACGCGATCCACCCACATGAGGAGATGCCCACTGGTGAGCGACTGGAGAAGGAGACGCGATCCACCCACATGAGGAGATGCCCACTGGTGAGCGACTGGAGAAGGAGACGCGATCCACCCACATGAGGAGATGCCCACTGGTGAGCGACTGGAGAAGGAGACGCGATCCACCCACATGAGGAGACGTCCCCTGGTGAGCGACTGGAGAAGGAGACGCGATCCACCCACATGAGGAGACGCCCACTGGTGAGCGACTGGAGAAGGAGACGCGATCCACCCACATGAGGAGACGCCCACTGGTGAGCGACTGGAGAAGGAGACGCGATCCACCCACATGAGGAGACGTCCCCTGGTGAGCGACTGGAGAAGGAGACGCGATCCACCCACATGAGGAGACGCCCACTGGTGAGCGACTGGAGAAGGAGACGCGATCCACCCACATGAGGAGACGCCCACTGGTGAGCGACTGGAGAAGGAGACGCGATCCACCCACATGAGGAGACGCCCGCTGGTGAGCGACTGGAGAAGGAGACGCGATCCACCCACATGAGGAGACGCCCGCTGGTGAGCGACTGGAGAAGGAGACGCGATCCACCCACATGAGGAGATGTCCCCTGGTGAGCGACTGGAGAAGGAGACGCAATCCACCCACATGAGGAGATGCCCACTGGTGAGCGACTGGAGAAGGAGACGCGATCCACCCACATGAGGGAGGCTATCCAGCCTTAACAAGGGAGGGAGTCCGGCACCTGCCACAATGGGGGTGAACCCCGAAGACATCATGCCACGAGAAATTAGTCAATCACAAAAGGACAAACACTAGACTATTCCACTTACATGAGGTTCCCCCACTCCCCCAATCACGTCTCCCAGCGAGATGCTGGCATCCCGCCCCCGAGGCAAATCTGTCCCAGTGATAAATCAGGTGAGGAAGTAACCTGCTGTGAGCCATACAGTAAAAGAGGAGGACCAGGGAGTTCTGGCTGCCCAGTGGTTAGAACTTGGGAGCTTTCACTGCCAGGGCCCAGGCTCAATCTTGGTTCAGATGGGAACTAAGAGCCCATAAGCCAGGAGGCCAAGTGCCCATCCCCCAACTCCACAAAAAAAATAAAATACAATCAATTCATGCAGGGAACATACCCAGACAAAAGGAGAAAGCCTAGACCAAGGCTTGGCGGCATTAAAATGAAGACCCGGAGAGACAGTGCTAACCAAAGGGAGCCCTCTGGGTTCCGTCTGTGTAACACAGGATGATGACACTTGCATAACTAAATCACTGAGGACATTTTTACATAATGAGGATTTACAGACCTGGATGTCGCTTCTGTTTTGGAGTTGGGTTTTTTTTTTTTTTGGTTTATATATTTTTGGCATGAGCAGAACTCACCTTGTTCTTTTCCATTACACATAGCAATTCCATTTTCTGCAACACCCTCACCATCTGAACTTGGTCTCTCTGAAGACAGTTTCTGTGAGGATAAAAAGATTAAGTTACTGTACCATGGCCACACTGACCAAGTGATGTATCATGGACCAGTCAAATGTTATCTCAAAAACAAAAGAAAACGTGGGCCACGTTCCAATAATCTGGAGATGGTTAGGGCTCAGCTATAACACAGACTAATCTGGTTGGTTTGCCACAAAAGCTTTAAAAACTTCAAAAGAACAAAGGAAAAACTTACTGAGCTTGTAGTAACACATGCTACATCACTTTTTCTTACAAATTATTTTGAAAATATACTAGGAATACATAAATATTCCCCACACCAAGTCACACCATCCTTACCTGGGTCCATAATCATCTGAGCCAGTGGCTCACAATGAGTCTCTCATTTGCATGGAGAATTTTATTTTATATTTAAATTATATTTTACGATACATATAAAATATGTGTACATATACATACACACACAGACTCTTGGATTCTGTTTCTCTAGAAAGCCCTAACTACAAGAGTAGACGGAGAGGAACTGTCCACGGGCGGGGCAGGGGTCAACAGGGAGGCCTCAGGACGCTCCTGGGAGACAGGCCACAGAAAGAACACCGCGGGGCAGGAAGCTGGGGCTCTCCACGGAACCGGGATCTTTGCACATACGGGCAAACTGTGGCCATCAGGTGATCATAGTATTAGAGCTTCAGCTTCAGCATCATTCCTTCCAATGAATATTCAGGGTTGACTTCCTTTAGGACTGACTGGTTAGGTCTCCTCGCTGTCCAAGGGACTCTGAAGAGGCATCATCCTTAGGGAAACATCTATTAAAACCTTCATCTGTATTCTTATTGGATTTTTGGTTCATACGGACTTCTGAGACTTTCTCTGTTCTGAATGCAAGTCCTCTCTCAGATGTCGTTTGCACAGGTCTTATCCCAGGCTGTGGGTTGACTTCTGGTTTCCTTCGCACCGTGTGGGCTGAAAGGAAGAGCTGGGATTGTGGGTGGTGGGGGTGTTGTCAGAACACCACTGGGGAGAGAGAGCAGGCAAGGCGGGTTGTAACCTGTCTGTGGGGAATAAACCTCTGGGAAGGAACACTTGGGAAGCACCTACTGTATTCCAGAAGAACACAGAGCTGCCTGCTGTGTCACAGCCGGCGGCCTTGAACACCTTAAACCCTGTGACACCTTCACACCCCTTTCCTGCATCTACAGCTAGAAAGAATAAAAACCACGCGGTTGGTGAAACAGTTGAGGCATGCTTCCTACCGGGCAGGCAGAGAGGCAGCAGGGGTGCATTGTAATTTTTTTTTTTTCTTTTTCCTTTTTGTTTTTCAACTAGAAATGCTGATATTCTCAGAGGTGCTGTTAAAAACTTCCAGGAAGGCCTAAAGCAGCCGCAAGGTTAATTCCTAGAAAGAAACACGCCCCTTACCTTCTCCAGTTCCACCTTGTGCACCGGGGAGCTTGATGGGGGAGGACACTCCGGCTCGGCGGGCCCGCTGCAGCCGCTGTAGATCTCTCTGACCACCTGTGGCAAGGGCAGAACGGCAGAGATGCTCACACGAGGGTCAAAGCAGAGGCAAGAGGCGCGGCGGGAAAACCCAAGGGTCACAGCCGTCTGGAGCTAAGCCTCGGGAGGCCAGGCATTCTTTTGTTCATTCTCTCACTCATTCATTCTGTCCATGGAGATTCTCCAGGCAAGAATACTGGAGTGGGTTGTGGTTTCCTTCTCCTTTGGATCTTCCCCACAAGTGGATCGAACCCAGGTCTCCTGCATTGGCAGGCAGATTCTTTATCGCCTGAGTCACCAGGGAAGCCCCACGCATTCACTCATCATTCGCCAAATGTCCAGAGCATCCTGGAAACAACAGAGGTTCTGGGGTACAGAAGGGAATGATGTACGTGAGAGTCCTGCCCTCATGGGGCTTCCACTCCAGTAAAAGTTAGATATCATGGTAAACAACGAGTATCGCCCAAGAAATGAAGGTGATGTCAGACAGTCGCCGGCGCTACAAAGAATAGAAGAGGGTCTTTAACGGGAAGGGGTGGCTGATTTAGATCAAGGGAGGCCTTCCTGGGATGACATGTGAGCTGTGAGCTGAGCTAAAAGGCCAGAGGACGTGGCCACGGGAAGAACCGGTGGAAAGGGCTACAGGCAGCGGGAACGAGGCGTGAAGGGTGGACATGAAGAGTTTATGGAAAACCCAGAGAGCTGCACGGGCAGACGGGCCAGGAGAGCAGCAGGAACCTGGGAGCCACTGCCGAGGCTGATGTTCACGGCTCTAGAGGGGGTACATCTGGAGTGGGGCTGGGGAGACAAAGCAGGACAGAGATTTGGGGAAGATACACGGTCAGGACACGGGATGAAACCAAAGGAGGGGAGCGGCTACAAGAGCCCAGCTGCAGTGGACACGGAAGCTGGACGCCAACCAGCAGAGCACACTTCCCAGGAGCAGGGAGCAGGAGGGAGGGAGGGAGCTGAGAGGGACAGCCCAGCAGAGGCTGCCTGGAGGAGGAGTGTCTGTAAGAGAGGCGGAGAGACTAGGGCGGCGGGCATGGCTGGAGGGGACCCCTGGGAGGGGCTCTGCAGAGACAGGAGGGGCCTAGGGTCTGGGAAGCAGGGAAGATGCACTAAGAGTCTGAGAAGGCACCTGCTGACCCATCTGCAAGGCCAGCACATCAGGAGTGGCTGAGTCGCACCTTCTCTGACCTCAGGGTCCTCACGAGCAAAGGAAGGCGTGTCAAGATGACCTGTCTTGTATTTGCAGTTGAATTAAGAGAAAACGTGACCCTGTATGCAAAATGCCTCAGCCAGCACCCTCGTGTGTACCAATATAAGGAAGACACGGTGGCCGCGGTCACCAACGCCGTCACCACTGCCAGCACCCGTACCGTTCTCGCTGAGAGCTCAGGAAGGGTCCCAGCTGAAACCCTCAGGAGCGAGGACCACTGTGTGGCACCTACTGCCGACCACAGCCACCCCTGCAGCCAACCCCCACCCCTTCCGTCCTCCCTGAGCTCCTGCAAGGTGCTCTGATCACCGAGGACACGCAAGAAAGAAGATAGACAAGCTCCTGGCCTGGTGCGACTTACACTCCTGTGAATGAGGAGCTAGCAGGCAAAGCTTTCAAAATGCCTTCTATTCCTTTTGGAACTAAGATGAAATCTGGGTTCAACCCAAGTGCCTTCTGAGCAAAAAAAAAAAAGAAAGAAAAACAGCAATGCCAGACTCCCAGCTATCTGTATAGGAACTCTGCAACAGGATCCCAGCAGACACACTCAGATTCCCTTGACTTGCTCTGGGGTTGGGACCGGAGCCAGGAGCTGAGGGAAGGCCGGGACGGCATCTCCAGTCATCCCGCCGCTCAGCTGCTTTATGAAAAAGCAACGGGAGTGAAATCCACACCAGAGACTAAAACAGGAAAAAAGAAAGCGAAGAAACCCAGAGAGCTCGCCGCCGTTGCTTCCTTGCTGAGTCTCACGTGTGAAAACCAGCAAAGGTGCACCAAGGGTGACCTGCCCCTCCTGAACTTCCGGCGGGAAGGTTCCCTCAGTTCGGCTGTTTCATGCTAATTTCGCTGCTGTCTTTGCATCGAGTCTTTAGTCCCCCACCTCCTTGTGCTTATCACGCCTTCAGCTGACAAGGAACAAGCTCTCTTGATCTAAGGATGAAACTTTTTCTTTCCTCTGGAGAAAGATGACCTGTCTTGTCCTTACGGTTGGATTAAGAGAAAATGTGACCCTGGGTGCTCAGCCAGCGCCTACATGTGTGTTCATACACACTGACGTGACTGTGGTCACCCGTGCTGACATCACTGCAGCAAAGGGCTCCTGTGTCCAACAGGAGCTAGGGCTGAATCCCAACCCATCCCCCACCCCCAGTGGGCTCCAGATGCACTGCAGCGTCACCCTGTGAGCCTCAGCCCCTGCCCGAGAATGTGTGCAAAGCGACGGCCACCACAACAGCTCAGCGACACAGCTGGTGTGCGCTCTTCCTCCATCCGAGTGGTACAGACGTGAACACGTGTCCATTTGTACACACGCCCTGAGGGTCTCAAGGGTCTCACTTCACACTAAAAGGCTAAGTCCCACAAAACATAACCTGCAGAAATCCATCTCTGGCAAAAGCTTTTATGCAAAATACAGCTGCCTTTTTTTCTTTCTCCTTTTTTCTTTCTTTTTTTCTTTTCCCAAAGGTGGAGGATCTCCACAGTTCCAGTTAGACCTCAGGGGTCTCCCAGCGGAGGTGTGCTCCCCTCTTGGCTGAACAGGACTCATCCTTCTGGGGCAGCCCAGGTCCCCGGTGACCAGGAAGCCCATTCGGACCCTCCTGCGTGGGACACGGGGCAGCTGTCCCTCCATGGGTACGGGCGGCCACGTGCTGCACTCAGGGCCCGGTCTCAGGCATCCTGAACCTGCCAGTCTGCTTCCTCTATTAAAGCCAGCTCATTTTCAAAGAAGGGGCTCTGCCTCACTCAGGCTGGTTTTCCCAATGCCTAGTGTGTAACAGCAACTAAAAAAAGAGTTTGATGAGAGGAACAAAAGAGAAGGGAATGAAGACATAAACTGGACTTGAAATTCTCTATGAGAAAAAAAAAAGGTGTGAATGAAAAATGGAAGGCAAGAGACTAGACCATCACAGGAGACAAGTAAAGCCTCATGAGTTTTCCCAGGCCTCCATGCAGATTCCTAAAATCCTCAGGGAGCTGGGAAGCTTTTTAAAAAACAGAAAGAGAGAGCGCATCAACTAGAAGCCACGCCTGCATCGCCAACACCCCAGTCTCGCTAATCCCTCCCACTCTCTCCTGGTCCCTGGACTGTCCCCTCCGCTCACCCCTGTCCTGTATCAGGTCCTGTGTCTCCATCAAACAGAAGTTTGAGGAACCAAGGACTCTCTGGACCCCTGAAGCCAGGGGTGGTTACTGAGCCATTGAAGGTAACTCATGCGAGACTTTCCTGATGAAGCCTGCCCCAGAATCTGCAGGCTTACAAATCTGTACACAGATCAACTTCACCTCTTCTCCTCCCGTCAGTTGCCGCCTTCCTGAACTTAAATTGTCCCCGCGGAGGGAACAGATGGAGGAGGGTTTGGTAGACCAGAGGAGAGCTGGCACACCTGGGGCTCCGTGGGATTCTCCGTGGCCTCTCAGCATCATGAAAGGATTTAATAATAGCAATTATTCATCACTATCCTCCCAGGTACAGAGAAAGACCCCGCGGAAAAGATCCATGAGCAGAAGCCAGTCTTTCTTTCCACAGCTTTCATCAAATGGTTGGATTCTTTCAGGTTATATCTTCATCGAACTTTCTGCTCTGATTACTATGTACTGCCATACTGCCTCTGCAGAGTTAATTCAGAAGTTCTAAATAAAGGGTTTATTGACCTATTTTTTTTAATAGCTGCAAAGGAGGTTTTTATATTAATATACTTCTTTGGAAAGAGCCACGTTCCGAGAGAAGTTCAGTAAGTATTTAAGAGAACTGGATCCAAATTCAGAATCACAAATCCTTCAAAAAAAGAAAAACAAATTGTTATATGTTCTGTGGTATTTTTGTTTGCTTTTAACTTGAACCCTCATCTTCAGAAACACAATCTCTGCACATTTTTGTAGGAAACCTGACCACTCCATTTCTGGGAATATTGGCTCTTGTCTTCTGACTGACCCCTACAAGATGGCTCATGTTTTCAGCATCTGTGTACACACACACACACACACACACACACACACACACACACACACAGAGTTAACTTTGGCAAGAGTTGTCGGTAATGGAAGTTGCAGACCAAAAGGAGAGAAACAGATTTGGCAGCTACCCTTGAAGAAGTTTCTGTCAAGTCATGTCCTGACCAAATACAGGCCCCAGGCTTATACCTGACAGAGGGGTGTGCATGACGTACTGAAAAGATATTTCATTGCTGCACTGAAGCCATCTTTCAAAATACTGAAAGCCTGGGATGAAAGGTTTAGGACAAATGGGCGAATAGGAGTTTATATTAATAAGGGAACTTGGCATTTGTTTTATAAAGTAATTGAAGTTAGAGAGTTCTAGGAGTTTTTCACACAAGGAATCCTAAGAGGTGATACCAATAAATCATATATTTTAACTGTTTATTACAATTCTAAGGGAGCATTTATATACCTTTTCCATGCTAGCTTTTTGATCATTCTGATCAGTATTACTTCCATTTGACAGATAAATGGGAAAGTTGCATGACCGAAAATATCATAATGAGTTAAAGGCATTCTTAGAATACACTCCAGATTTCCAGACTTTCCATTCACTCTTCTGTCATTCTAACAGGCTGTCATCAAGATTAATAAGCATTGTTCCTTGTATGGCAGTTCTTTTAAGGAAAAAACATCTGCTTCAAGCACAAAGATGTGGCCTTAACAAGGAGAAATTAAAAACCAGGATGACAGCACTGACTTTTTACACATTAAAAACACAATTTCAAAGTTTTTAATCATTTAGAAAAACAGAGAACCATGCTGGAACCCACATGATAGCTGACTTCAAGGCTGTCTC